TTTAATAAAAAAGTTGACAGATGCATTTGTATTTACGAAGAAATCCAAAATGACCCATAGTTTGTGATGAATGAAACTCCTTTAAAATTATATTTTTAGTAAAATAAATTTAATGCTAACATAATTTTGCCATTATAGTGCAAATCTATAAGATCCCAACTATAATTAGGAATAGAAGTTGGATCTTCTTCTAGCTTTTTAATAATATCTTGAATTTCAAGATCATTTTGTTGAATCTCGGATTTTGATGATGAAACCAATTGATAATGTTTATGATTTGATATGTGTTTTGAGTGACATAGGAAGCTTTGATTAGAGAGAGATAACTAAAGCAGGAAGAATCATATTGGGCTAGAGTGGAACATGTTAGAAGATTGGACATCGAGCCAGAGGATCGGTTGAGGTATCGATAAAAGGCATCGGGCCATGGGATGGGGTATCAGCCCAAGAAGAGTGAAAATTGCGCCTAGGAAATCGCAGTTGCAGAGGTCAACTGGCCGATTGGGTAATAGGCCGCAAGAGAGGACGATGCGCCGAAGAATCGGACAAGGCATCAATGAACCAATGACATGCCAAACAATATTTGATTAGCTTACTAATAATTGTCTAGATCGAAGTAGGTTTTAAGTGTGCAGGATTAACTATGATAGCAATCAAGGAATAAAGCAAAATGAAGTCATGGAGTCAAGAAAGAGATTTCGTTGGGAGTTCGAGAGTTCGTCGGAAGTCCGGACATTCATCGGAAGTTCTGTCGGAATTGACCGAGAAGTCCAGGAGCTTGCCAAAGAAGCTCGTCGGAACTCGTTAAGAAGATCATCGTGAAGTCTAGGAGCTTGCCGAGAGTCCACTAGAACATTGTCGAGAGATCATCGAAAGTTCGTCGGAAGATCATCGTAAGCTCATTGGAAGAAACCTAGACTTACCAAACTTATTTAGCTTAGTGTATGCCTTAAAATTCGTAGTTAGCACATAATTAGCTTGGAATTAGACGAACTCAATTTAGGGATCAATTAGGCCCAAATTTAGGCTGTGTTGGGCCAAGTGAAAGGCTCAAACAGTGACCCAACAGGTGGAATCGTCGTGGTATAGTCTCTGAGACTGTGTCAGGCGATGGTGTCACGCCCCCTCAAAATATATCCATGATATTAAAATTTTCATCACAAACCAATCAAGGATTCAAACTAACATTTGAGGACACTGAAAAACATTCTATCAAATTCACATCTATAAAACCTGTGCAGTTTATAATCATATATCACATCACTCGATAATTCACATTTATGGTAATCCAAGCCAACTTAACAAACATGTACAACATTTATAAATCCACAAGCTAAGTAATTTATACAATCATAACTCCAACCATTTACCATAAGTTCATATCATCATAAATTAGACTTAACATTCTGAAATTCCAAATAAGAGAGATATTCTAACACTTTTACACAGTATATCAATTTCGATTCATCGACAACATTTCATTTCATACAAAATATGCTTATACAACAATAACATAATAACCAACAAGACTTGCCCATAATTCAGAATAGCTCTCCACTGCCTCAGCCCAATTCAAACATCTCAAAGAGTGACAAGCTGACTTGAAAGATTTATATAACAACGGAGTGAGCTAAAAATAGCTCAGCAAGTAACAAAGCATATTCAGAACAAAAGGAACGGTTTCAAACAAGTAAGATATCATAATGTAAGGCAGAATACAAGAATTCTCAAGGATACCATCTCATTAGATACGAAATCATATGTGTCATGTCATTCAAAACCTATTTGGTTCATAACAGATAGAGCATAGAGTAATTGGAGCATATCAATAGCGTATGAAATGTTCCGGAGCATATCAACTACATATGGAATATTTCGAAGCATAACAATAGCAAATGAAACATTTCGGAGCATATCAAAGGCGTATGAAATGTTTCGTAGCATATCAATGATAAATGAAACATTTCGAAACATATCAATGGCATATGGACCATTTCGGAGCATATCAAAGAACGAATACGAAATAGAAGCTCAAACATCGAATTTGACGTTACATTTATATCATTCTTATCCAAAGCATGTATAGAAACACATAACCAAAGCTCTGGATATCATATCAAACATACAGAAGGTGAAGTGGGACCATAACATAATATGGTACTTCCATTTCTGAATGACCACCAAACATAAGTCTCCCACGTCTGGGAGGTCTCCCACGTCTGAGTGAAGTTATAAGGGCTGGTAGAGCATCACAGGCTCTATGCATAACTCCCTTTACCATTTCTAGCAAAGGTTCACAATATCCCACAAACACCAGAGTACAAAAGGATAGTATGAACAATGAATAGCAAATATCGGAAGCACACGCGGAACAACAAAACGTACATGTGCCTTTATGAGTCAATACGAAGTAAGGAATAATCTTTCACAATTGTATTCAGATTTGAAAAGATATGAAAGCAAGAGCATTCAAGGATTCCAAGTAATCACATATAACTCAATTCAAATAAGAAGGTTAGATGAATTCAATGTCCAAATGAATGAAACTGAAATAGGCACATATCGAAAGCAAATGCAGAACAATGAGATATCAATGTGCCTATATGAGTCAATACGATATAGCATAAACGTTACACAATAGTTTTCAAAAATGCAAATAATTTTAAGGACAAGAGCATACAAGAATTCAAAGCAGTAATATAAAGCTCAATTGAATAAGAAAGCTAACGGATATCAATTTTCAAAGGAATGAAACCAGAATATACGAAATCGACCAAAGCTCGATTTCTGGTAGAATCCAAAAGGCACATTGAATAAATAATTCAAACAATCAATCGTGCTCCAATATACTCAAGAAAGCTATTGTGGAAAGATATTTCAATCTATTTTCAGATAAAACAAGTCTCGTATGAATCGAAATTTCCAACAAAGAGTTACAATTGATTTAGTAACCAAAGGTCAGAAAATAAAATCATTGTTTTGCATAATCCAAAGGGTCGGATTCAATAGATAGCTGAGCAAACATTTGGACTCTAAATCTTTTAATCTAGGTATCAAAAGAAAGATCTACGAGTTTAGTTTCCAATGTAATAAGATTTGAATAAATCAAAGTTTTCAACAAGACTTATAGGCAGTTCAGTATCAAAAGGTCAGAATCTCAGACGTTGCACAGATTCGAATCGTTACATCTAAACAGGAGATATATCAAATGCAAGGCTAGAACAATTTAAAGTTCCTCATATTCAAAGCAAATGTAGAGAATAAAATTGCAGTAAGGAAAGATCAGGACACTTGCAATAGGAAAGATTAGAAAGCTTGCAATGGGAAGGATCGGAACACTTGCAAGAGAAAAGATTAGAAAGCTTGCAATAGTAAGGATCAGAACACTTGCAATAGGAAAGATAAGAACACTTGCACGAGGACGATCATAATACTTGCAATAAGAAAAATTAGAACAATTACAGAAGAACGATCGGGAAACTTGCCTTTCAAAGATTTTGATCCGAAGATCCAAAGAAGGTGTCAGCCCAAATCTTTCTACTTTTCCTCCGTGTCCTCTCCCTGTTTCATGTTCTATATGTGTCTTCTCTTTTTCCTCCACAACTGCAGCTCATGCAGAACATAGAGGCATAGTCACATGCTCTCTCTTACTCTCATTCTTCGTTTTCTTTTTCAAACGCAGCTGTCACAGCCATCGTCGCTGCCACTACCACAGTCGTAGCCATGACCGCAACTACTGTCACAACCACAGCCCCTTCCACTGCACTACTTCCTTCCTCCCTTCTCTCATTCCTACTTTTTTTTTCCAAACACAGTCACCGCAGCTGCCACCACCGCAGCCGCAATCACGGCTACGGCCCCTTTTCTTTTTTTTTTCCTTTTCTTTCTTTCTCTTTCCCAAAAGCAGCTGCTGCAGCCACCACCACTGCCGCAGCTACCGCAGCCAACGTAGCAGCCACGGCCGCAGCCTCTTCTTCCTCCCCTGCTCTATTTCCTCTCCTTCTCTTCCAGCTGCAGCTACCACTGCCGCAGCTGCCTCCCCTTCTCCTCTTCCTCTC